TTGGTGGGAGTGTAAATTAGTTCAACCATTGTGGAAGACAGTGTGGCAATTCCTCAAAGATCTAGAAATAGAAATACTATTTGACCTAGTAATCCCATTACTGGGTATATACCTAAAAGATTATAAATCATTCTATTATAAAGACACATGCACACATATGTTCATTGCAGCATTGCTTACAATAGCAAAGACCTTGAACCAACCCAAATGCCCATCAATGATAGACTGGATAAAGAAAATGTGGAATGTATACACCATGGAATACTATGCAGCCACAAAAAGGGATGAGTTCATATCCTTTGCAGGGACATGGATGAATCTGGAAACCATCATTCTCAGCAAATTGACACAAGAACAGAAAACCAAACAATGCATGTTTTCATTCATAAGTCAGTGTTGAACAATGAGAACACATGGACACAGGGAGGGGAACACTGGGACATGTTGGGGGTTGTGGGGGTTAGGGGAGGGATAGCAGGGGATGGGGAGATTGGAGAGGGATAATATTAGGAGAAATACCTAATGTAGATGATGTGGGGGTAGCAATGCAGTGAACCACCATGGCATGTGTGTACCTATGTAACAATCCTGCATGATCTGCACATGTACCCCAGAACTTGAAGTATAATAATTAAAAAAACAGGCAAATAAACACAGCAACAATAGTAACAACAAAATCAATCCAACAGTATGCTGCATTCAAGTAATTCACTGCAAATACAACAACATAGGGAGGTTGAAATTAAAAGAATGGAAAGAGATACACCATGAAAATGTTCATAAGAAAAGCAAGAGTGGTTATATTAATATCAGAAAAAGTAGACTTTGGAACAAAGAAAATTGATAGAAAGAGGAACATCACCTAATGATAAAAGGATTCATTCATCAAGAAGACATAACAATCCTAAGTGTGTATGTATTGAATAATAGTGTCTCAAAATACATGAAGCAAAACTAATAAAGCTGAATGGAGTCACATGTACACAAAAAACAAAAAATGTAGCTGAGATTTCAATAGACTATTCCCAGCAATTGATAAAACTAATAGATTGTCAGTACAGCTTTAGATCAGAATGACACAATCAAGAGCAGTGGTTCCCTTCTGGCACCAGGGACTGGTTTCGTGGAAGACAATTTTTCTAGGGACATGGGGGTAATGAGGAGGACAGTTTGGGGATGAAATGGTTTCACCTCAAATCATCAGGCATTAGTTAGATTCTCATAAGGAGCAGGCAACCTAGATTCCTCACATGCACAGTTCACAATAGAGGTTGTACTCTTAGGATAATCTAATAAAAAATTCATATGGAACCAAAAAAGAGCCTGAATAGCCAAGACAATCCTAAGCAAAGAGAACAAAGCTGAAGGCATCATGCTACCCAATTTCAAACTATGTTACAAGGCTACAGTAAGAAAAACAGCATGGTACTGGTACAAAAACAGATATATAAGACTGCACACCTACAACCTTCTGATTTTTGAAAAACCTGACAAAAACAAGCAATAGGGAAAGGATTCTCTATTTAATAAATGATGCTAGGAGAAAAGGTTAGCTATATGCAGAAAATTGAAACTGGATCCCTTCTTTACACCTTATACAAAATGAAGTCAATGTTCATTAAAGACAAAGGTAAAATCTAAAACTACAAAAACCCTGGAAGAAAATCTAGGCAATACCATTCAGGACATAGGCATGGGCAAATATTTAATGATGAAAACACCAAAAGCAATAGCAACAGAAGCAAAATTTGACAAATGGGATCTGATTAAACCAAAGAGCTTTTGCACAGTAAAAGAAACTATCATCAGAGTGAACAGACAACCTAGAGAATGGGAGAAAACTTTTGCAATCTATCCATTAGACCTTTGACAAGGTCTAATATCAAGAGTCTACAAAGAAATTAAATAAACTTACAAGAAAAACAACCCCATAAGAATTGGGCAAATGACATAAACAGACATTTCTCAAAATAAGACATTTGTGCAGCCAACCAACATATGAAAAAAACAATGTAACTGATTATTAGAGAAATGCAAATCAAAACCACAATGAGATACCATCTCACACCGGTCAGAATGGTAATGGTTAAAAAGTCAAGAAACAACAGATGCTGGCGAGGTTGTAGATAAAAAATAACGCCTTTACACTGTTCATGAGAGTATAAATTGGTTCAACCATTGTGGAAGACAGTGTGGCAATTCCTCAAAGACCTAGAGGCAGAAATACCATTTGACCCAGCAATCTTATTACTGGGTATATACCCAAAGCAATATAAATAATTCTTTTATAAAGATATGGGGACATGTGTGTTCATTGCAGCACTATTCACAATAACAAAGATATGGAATCAACCCAAATGCCTGCCAATGCTAGACTGGATTATAAAAATGTGGTACTACCATGGAGAACTATGTAGTCATAAAAGGGAATAAGATAATGTCCTTTGGAGGGACAGGGATAGAACTGGAAGCTGTTATCCTCAGCAAAAAACTAATGCAGGAAAAGAAAGCCAAACACTGAATGTTCTCACTTGTAAGTGGGAGCTGAATGATGAGAACACATGGACACATTGTGGGAAAGGAACAACACACAATGGGGCCTGTAACAGGCACAGAGCAGGTAGAGCACTAGGAATAATAATGGACGTGGGGCTTAATTTCTGGGTGTTTAGTTGATCTGTGCAGCAAACCACCATGGCACACATCTGTCTATGTAACAAGCCTGTACATCCTGGACATATACCCCAGAACTTAAAATGAAAATTGAAGAATAAATAAATACATTTCTCATTCTTCATACAAGTGTCCATCTCATTCTTCAAACAGTGATCATTCTCACTGAAGAGTGGCAACCCAGATTACCTTGTTTTTCTTCTGAATTAAGTGTTATAAGTAAAACATACTTTTCTTCTGAATTGAGTGTTATAAGTAAAACATACTCCAGGCAAGGAAAAGAAAGATAAATAATCCCTTCAAAGCTTCTGGGATTATTTGGAACTATGCCTAAAGGGAAAAAGACATCTTTGTAATAGGATTTCCCAAGTCATGGATAGAAATTCACATAGGTAACTAGGTAGGAGCTGTCTCTGTGAGTGTCATCTTTGAGATATCGATGTCTGGTTATCTCTATTGGAATGCCTGCAGTTTCACCTTTCTTCACCTTCTCTAAATTGGGTAATCTGAACTCCTCCTCCAGTGAACACTGACTTTTATCCTCTGAGAAAATAGCCCACAGGACTGGGCCTTCCTTAACCATGTATCTTGCCTTGTAACCTAAATTTCTGTGTGGCTACCTTATGTAAGATACAGTTAAAAAAATTGTTAATAGCCCACAAGACTGGACCTTCCTTAACCATGTTTCTTGCTTTTTTTTTTTTGAGACGGAGTTTCGCTCTTGTTACCCAGGCTGGAGTGCAATGGCGCGATCTCCACTCACCACAACCTCCGCCTCCTGGGTTCAGGCAATTCTCTTGCCTCAGCCTCCTGAGTAGCTGGGATTACAGGCACGTGCCACCATGCCTAGCTAATTTTTTGTATTTTTAGTAGAGACGGGGTTTCACCATGTTGACCAGGATGGTGTCATTCTCTTGACCTCGTGATCCACCCGCCTCGGCCTCCCAAAGTGCTGGGATTACAGGCATGAGCCACCGCGCCCGGCCCGTATCTTGCTTTTTAACCTAAATTTCTGTGGTGGCTACCTTATGTAAGATACAGTAAAACAAAAATTATATATAGTTTCTATTAAATGTTAACGAAAGTGTTATGAAAATATAAAAAGTTAACATAATTCTACCCTAAGGAGAATCTGTTATCAAACAGTTTGAACATAGAATGACAATGAAGCAGCTTAACAATAATCCTGGAATGTGCAAAGAGAAAAAGGATGAATGAGTCAAAATTTTTTGCCAAAACTATACATAATCCACTTATCTTCATTAGATACCTTAGACAGTTGCTATGGTCTGAATGTATCTCCCTCAAACTCATATATTGTAATCCTAACCCCCAACGTGGTAGTATTAAGATCTGGGGTGAATGGGTCATGAGGATGAGAAAGATTGGGTCAATCTCATCCTCATGACCCAATCATGATTGAGAGGTGATTGGGTCATGAGGGTGAAACTCTCATGAATGAGACTAGTCCCCTTATAAAAGAGGCCCCAGAGAGCTGCCTTGCCACTTCCACCATGTAAGGACACAAGGACATCTATGAACCAGAAAATGGGTCCTTACCAGACACGGAGTCTGCGGGACTACCTTGATCTCAGACGATTTCTATTGTTTATAAGCTACCAAGTTTGTGGTGTTTAATTATGGCAGCCTGAGTAGAGTAAGACATCAGTAATATAGCCAGAGCAACTCATGTGTCTGAAATACCATTCAATACTACAGACAGAAGTAGTTTAACACTTTTCCTTTTATAAGAATTTTTTTCTGTAAACTTAAGTTATATATACTGCATTGAAGAAGCTATAAAAAGACAGTCCAGTTTATGAATGGCGGAAATTTTTATTTCTCTAGCTTTAGGTGATGACCAGGGTCCTCAGGCAGAGTCAGTCATGGCCATCAAGAACTTACTGCTAAAATTCTAAGGACTGTGATGAACTCCAGTGATTCAGTCCTTCCAGCTAATGGAGAGTTTCAAAGTTAGTAACAACAGAGTATCTTAAATTTGTACAACAGGTTATTATTTTAAAGAAAATATTCTAAAGCTTCTGTTTATTGACATATTTTCGTCTTGCAAGTTCATAGCTTGAAGGTCCATGTTTTGTCATTAGTGATTAGATCTTGAGGCTATGAGTTGCTAATTCAGATGATGATATTTACATTTTTAGTCATTAAAGATATTTTATATTTACCTGATGAAGGTAATGTCTTCGTTTGATTTTGAAAAAAACACTGACCACTTATGTTAAGAGAAATCTAAGCAAAATCTAAAATCTTAGCAAAATGTAGGCAACTCCCAGCTTTACTCAGAGCCATTTCTCCATCCATATCAGGTCTGTGGTGACCCTGAGCACCAACTGAGTAACACAGAGTCACATACTATGTGGGGGCCTAAGGAACAAATGGTAGAAGAGGCCTTAAGGGACGAGGAGAGAAATCCAAGGAAGACCTGACTATGGACTACGATGGAGGTAGGGTAATCATGTGGGCTGTGCCTTGTAGCAGCCTGGGACAGGGATGACAGCTCGGTGAGGGCTGAGAAAAGAGCATGTGGTGGGGGTGCAGGTCGCTCTTACCAGGATCAACTCCTTTGTGCTTTAGTTTAATATAGAAATTACGTAGAGCTCCTGGTTTAAAGGGTGCTAGAGATGCCTTAGTATCTGTAGTTGTTAATAATAATACAGCATTGAGAAAAGAAAGGATAACTCTTCTTGGTATGTATTAAAGGAGTTTTATATAGATGGTAAATGCATGCAAAAACAGTATGGTACTATACTATTTCTCCCTTATCTTTAGGGGATACATTTCAAAACCCCAGTGATTGCCTGAAACCTCAGATGATTGTATTGAACCATATATATATATATATATACTATATAAATATATATACTATATTTTTTCTATATAGTAATGGGCTGGTAGCATCTACTATGTGGATATGCTGGACAATGTGATGATTTGTGTCCTGGCCAGGCCAGAGTGGGATGGTGTGAGATTTTAGCATGGTATTCACCAATGGTGTGCAATTTAAAGCTGATGAATAGTTTCTTTCTGAAATTTTCCATGTAATAGTTTTGGACTGTAGTTGACCACAGCTAACTGAAATCACAGAAAATAAAGCCATGAGTAAGGGGGACTGTATTCTAATATTTTTCAGGGAAGACTAAGGAACAGGTGAAAGTTTAACTAAAGCAGAGCTAAAAGAAGACCACTGAACCATCCTGGGGGCTAATGACTGGCCAAGTGACCATAGGGTCAAACATTCAAGAGGGAGGAAAACCTCTTTTATGTAATTGTTGACTGTTGTTTTATAGTTCTGCTTTATACTTTGATAGCGGTTTCATAGAAGACTTTGAGAGCAATTTTCTACTTTTACAAATGATTCCATTTTATATCAGAAACACGAAGGATGAAGCAGATGAGTGAGTAATACAAATACAGTAACACTAGAATTTCCTGTTTTCAGTCTCAATCTTGGCACAGTACAGCTATTCATTTTCATTCTAGCTATAGCAGTCCTCCTAAAAACAAATATGGAAAGACACATTTTTCTGAAAAATAGCAAAATAAGAACCAAAGATACAAGATAAGAGCAGCCTTATTTAAAATCAGGTAACAGTGTATTTTAAGTTATTCAGCCCTTAAAATGTTACGTGGTCAGAGATGTGGGAGTTATACAAGAAAAATCAAAGCAGAAATTTTGGGTTGATTGCCATTGTAGTCTCTGGCTCAGTGGACTTCTAACCCTATTTAATCTTTTGAGGAGCTCATTGAGTTTTATTTTTTTTTGTTTTGGCTGTTATCTGATTGCATGGCAGCATTTGTTAGATATAATATTTGGAAATAAAACAATAAGCCTCTAGGCTTCCTAGCCTAAGGGGAAATAGCTTCTCTAGCTAAAGTTTTAAAACCTGCAAGTTCAATAGCCTTCAGCCTGGGGTTCCATATCAATTGCTTCTCATTATAACCTCCTGAGATGTCAGAAGCCTTTTCTCTTATTAAATATATGACTTTTACTTACAGTTCTCTCCATGGCACATTGAAAATCAATTTCTTTCCCCTCCAGGGCTCTGATTTTTAAAAAGGGCAACCAGGGAAAATTACTTAGGGACAGAATGCATGGCAACCATTCGGGTTATCTTCAAATTCTCGTGTATCTCAAACATACTATTTGCTTTCATTAGTGGAGATACCCACAAGAGGCACAAAGTTTTGATTTGTTGCCTTCTCCACACAGAGGAACAAAAAGCTTTGTTGAAACTTTGGATTACATGAAAGGGAATCCAGTGAATCTTTGGGGTAAGGCCCTTGTAATAATGCTCTGCCTTGGCATGATTTCACCCCTTCCATGTCTCCTGCTAGAATTATTTTAGACACACTCAGAGAAAGAGTACTCTCTTCACTTTTGACAATTGCCTTGCTTATCAATAATCAATCTGACTTATACCCATGTATTTTTAGAAACCATTTTTCCCCCATCAACTCCTTCCCCACCCCACTTTCTGTCTTCTCCTAGGTGATGGTCCTGGAGAACCTTCCCTTGGCTGTCCTAGAGTGACTCTCATTCTGCCGAATTCCTCCTATACACATATCTGTTACCAGCAGCCAGTGTCTAGCTGCCTAGTTCATATGGCAAAAGATCTTTTCCTTGTGTTATTGTCTAGGTGCAGAGCAAGCTGTTTTTTGCTTTGCTCTCCTTGCAAAGATATGTGGTGCTTTTGGATTCTGGGGCTTGCTTTTAATTATTTTTTTAAAGTTTTATTCTCCATACCCTGGGTAGAATTAATTATTTTTGGGGGCCTGATAGAGGCCTATATGGAGCTACTCAGACATAGAAGGATTACAGCTTCATAGGACATACATTAAAAGATGCCTGTATTAATTTAAGTGAGAAAATTCTCAGCTAATTCATGAATAGAATTTGGTGAAATTGAATGGTAGTTTCTAATAATGAAGATGGAACACTTCAGTGAATAATTTCTATTTAATTAATTATAGCTGTTCATATTTGGGTTTCCTCTAGTCTATTCCTAACATGCTTTAAGTACATCATCAAAGTCAAATGCCATGATGATTGAAATTAATTATAGTGGATTTCTTTGTATAACAAAACAGCTTGTATATTCCACACCATTCTGTAGGCAGCAGAATTGCACAAGGAATGCAAAGGAGCCAGGCACAATTGTTCATGCCTGTAATCCCAGCTCTTTGAGAGGCTGAGGCGGGTGAATCACCTGAGTTCAGGAGTTTGATACCAGCCTGGGAAACACGGTGAAACTCCGTTTCTTCTAAAAATACAAAAAAATTAGCCAGGGGTGGTAGTGGGTGTCTACAATCCCAGCTACTGAGGAGGCTGAGGCAGGAGAATTACTTGAATCAAGGAGGTGGAGGTTGCAGTATGCTGAGATCGCATTATTGCACTCCAGACTGGGTAACAAAAGTGAGACTCCGTCTCAATTTAAAAAAAAAAGACACAAGGGAAGCATTTCTCACATGCTGTTATAAAATTTAGATTATGTTTTGTATTTAAAGCTGTCATTATTGATGAGAAGATAGTCCCAGAATACAGCTGAATGCCTTACCATCAAACCAAGACACAGCCAGGAGGTAAATGGTTCAGTAAATGAGATAAATGATGGAGATGTTTTCTGAGGGAATGTGAGAATTCCCCATGTAGATGCATCAGGGAGATAGCAACTCAGTCTGTGGTATTTTTCTTCTGTGACAGGTCACACAGCACAGGAATCTAAAATAGCATGGATTTAGAGTCAGCATGCCGTGTAATAGATTCTCATCAAATTTACCCTAGTTTTTTTAAAGGCAGCATTCACAAAGACTAAAAATTCTTGGAGAAGCTCAAGAGCCATGTTTCTATGTACCACGGAAAAAAGTGATACAACCCAGGATGGGTTAAGATGTATAAATAATAATAACATGCTATTACAAAATTACCTATATGCATTTTGTTGACTTTGTGACTTACTTCAACCTTAAGATTGTTAACATTGCTTCATGAGCTATAGATTTCTCATATGGAAAGTGTCATTTTGTAATTTAAAGTAATAAATGCTTGAATAGCTGTCAGTCAAGAAGACAACACACTTGGCCATGTGCTGCACAGTTTTATCGCCAGCTCCATAAAACATTTAGAAAATTGAATATTTAAAAAATGTATGATGAGTGAATAGAAATACCTGCTCCTCTATCATTCTTCATCTGTGAGCAATGCCATGGCTTTCTTGGGGTGCATTTCATAGGGTCTGTAGTCTCAGAGTTTCCATTTCATCTGCTTTCCTGGTCACCATTTTGCAAGGGGTTTAGGGGAATAGCTTAGGAGGAGAAGGGGAAGACTGGAGGAGATAGAGGAGGTGCTTCTCATAGCTCATCTCGTCTCTTTTTTAGTAACAGTGTGGTGCAGTGGCCTAAGCCTAGGCTTTGAAGTCACACAAGCCTGCTCTCCAGCTCTTTTCCTGTCGATCTCTAGCTGTATATCCTTGGAAATGTTGTTTAATGTCCTGGGCCTCAGAATACTACTACTGCTCCTGAGGAATGCCTTAAGGCATAGTTGTGTGAGTTAAATGAGATAGCATATGGCAGGTGCCTAGCACAACTTGTAGCATATGGTAGCCTACCAATAAATACCAGTTTTACTCTCCCACTCCCCTTTACAACTTTCTTGAACCAGTGTCATCCTTTGCTTCCTGTTCAAGGAGAAGATTCTCAGCATGACTAGTTTAGCGTAAAATTGTAGTATTTTAGTTCTTCATCTACTTCATTAATATTGCTTCTGAGCTTAAGTTGCTAAATTCAATGGACACATGTCAGTCCTTATCTTATTTAATTTTTGTAACATTTAACTTTGAGGATAAAAATAATCCCCTACTCTTAGAAAAAGTATGACTCTTCTATAGTCATGAGAACAGCCATGACTAGAATAGGGGTTACTAGAATGGGTGTTAAACTTTCAAATAAATCAATACTTCAAGAAAGCAGTAAATTCAATTTGGTTTAGTTTCAGATTCTTCCAGTGGTTTTATCTTTTGACAAGTTTATATGTGAGGCTAAGGCTCAGGCAGGATAAACTGGTTCAGATGCCCTGGCTGCTTAGACCTGGGGCTTGTTATTTATTTGTTTCTATACCTCTCTCAGTATTTCTTCTCAGTCTTTGCTTTCTCCTTATTCGACTTTTGCCTTCTTAAATCTTGACATTATTTAGGTTTTTGTCTTTGGCTCCTCTAGTTCCTCATACTCTCTGGATGACCTCTTCCACTTTAGCAGGTTTAGCTATGATATTAATGAGTCCCAAATCTGCGTCTCTAGATAGAAATGTTTTTACTTGTAAGTTTGTCTTCCCACTAGATATTTCTACATGATATTGCACAGGTACTTCAGATGTAACATTTCTCACAATAAAATTCATCTTTGCACTCAAATCTGCTACTTCTATATCCTAGGGCCCAGTAATCCAAGCCAAAACCTAATTGCCTGTCTCACACGATTCCTACAGCAAAGTTACGTAGTTTTTTTTCTTCTACGTGTATATGTATCTGCCTTCTGTTTTCAGGTCCCTTTCCCACCTTTTGCTTGAATTACTCCAACAACTCCCTAAATAATTTCTATAACTCTAGTCTTGCCCCTTTTCAAAACCGCACTCTGATCAGAGTAATCTATATAACACTATATCGATTTTGAATGCTGTGCTCACCTGCAAATAAGAGAAAATTCAACTCATTGCGATTTAAGTAATAAAACATAAGTTGCATCACATATGAGGATTTGTCTGGAGATA